CTCCTAACGCGGCGGTGCGGCCATTGGCCGTGGGGCGGCGCGGTGGCGCTGGTGGCTGGTGGCGCCTGCCCAGCCCAGATCTGGCCCCATTTGGGTCCCATCTGGGTTGGGGCGGGCCGGTAGCTCGGTGTTCGGCGGCGTAGTTCCCTGGTGATTGCATGGTGGCGGCGGTCTTGGGCGGTGAGGACTTTGTCGCTCGGTGAGTTGCAGCGTGGCGACAGGATTGTCCGGGTCCAAATGGACCCGACCGGGCCGTCGAGGCCCGGCAAATCCTTGTCGCCGCGTCCGGTCGGCTCCGCTGCGGCGATGGAGGTTCTCCCCTCCCCCTGGTCGAGTTGTGGTCGCTCCCGTGGCCGGGGTCTCCTTTCCCGCTCTAGGCCTCGTGTTGGTAGCTCCAGTGAAGCGGCGGGGGTTGTCCGGTAACCGTGGTGGCACAGGCTAGTGGCCGGCTATTGGGGTGGTGCATCTCAAAGTACCTGGAGTGATGGTGGTGGTTCTGGATCGGGAGAAATCCGTGTCGGCTTGTCCGGCACCGACGCGGTGACGCTTGCGGGCGCCATCGGACCTTCCTGAGGAACGTCGGATATATCCCTTCCCCACCATCCCTCGCGTACGGGGGGAAACCCTAGAACTTGTTCGGACAATAGCGGCGGCAGCATCGCATTCCTTATTGAAGGTGTTGCTTGGTGTGAGGCGCTTCGACATGCTGGGAGCGCGGTGGTACTTCGTCGGAGGGTGCAGCGGTTGCCGGTCTTCCTCTTTTCGTTGATCTGCCGGTGTCGGCATTTATTTCTCTTTCATTTTCTTTTGTTCTCTTTTGGGCTTATCTGTGCAGCGGCCTCAGCGAGCTCAATGTATTGGATGTTTGCTTTATAATATAAAACGGGGAGAAACTCTTTATCGTAAAAACGCACGCACGTGTTTTTACATGGCACACTCTAGGCTTTAGCAAAAATGGCAAGAAACGCGAGGCAGAGAGCTCTGCCGCGTTGACAGCAAGGTGCATTGAATGCCTTCCTTGTACTATTGCTTTGCTCCTGGATCAATCGCGACCCCCCTCTCCACATCGGCTGCAGTGCAGACCCGCTTGGATCTGTTCATCGTCCTCTAGCACGGTCTCTCATCAATTCCATCCCCATCCATTCCCTAGCCTCTCTGTTCCTCTCCACGACGATCACCATGTCGCCCCCTCCAACCCGCCGGATCCACAAACTTGTTCCTCTGGAGGAGGAGGATCCGGACTGGAGCACTCTGCCGGAGGAGCTCCTGGAGCGCATCGGCAAGATGCTCCCGTCCCGCCGCCACGCCCTACAGTTCCGGTCCATCTGCCCGGCGTGGCGCGCCGTGCTGCCGTTCGCCAGGTACATAGGGCCGTTGCTGATGCTGCCCTACAACCGCGACTCGCCGGATTGCCCGGTCACCTTCTACACCGTGGCAGACGGCGGGGAGACGACATTCACCAGGAACCTCCCGTGGTTGCGCGGCAAGGCCATGCTCGGCTCGTCACGCGGTTGGCTAGCCCTCGTGGACGACGAGGCCGCGTCATTGACGCTTCTCAACCCGCTCACGGACACCACCGTCGAGCTCCCGCCGGCGGCCGAGCACGTCGTGGCGGCCTCCTTTAGTCAAGCGACGATGCTCGATGGGATCCAGACCGTCATCCTTCTTGCTGACGGCAACGTCATCAAGCTAGACGAGCTGAAGAAGAGCACGATGTTCCGTGAGAAAAAGATGAGCGCGGTCTTCCGCCAGATCGTGCTCTCCTCCTCCTCGCCTGGCTCCGGCGACTGTGTGGCGATGGCGGCGCTCCATGGCTCGAGCACCTTCGCGTTCTGCCGCGTGGGCGTTGACGTGGCGTGGAGCTTGCTTGACACCGACCTTGACTGCGTTGCCTTGCTCGTTCATCTCCATGGCAGCAGGTTCCTGGCGATCCACGACGAATGTTCCGGAATGTTCAACATCTGTGACGTTGCGGGTGCAGCTGCCACGGCTACACCGGTGCCGTTGTCTCCGGCTCCAATATATCGCCGCCATTATATGGAGGTGAATGGCGAGCTGTACGTCGTCGGCACCATGTTTCAGGGTTCCACCTACCTTCGGCAGGTATACAAGAGCAATGTCTTCGCCGCCACACCGAGTTGGACAAGGGTGGAGAACGCCGGTGATCTGACATTGCTCCTGTCAAGTAATATCACGGCAGCAGGCTACGCTGGAGCAGTAAGTGTCTCCGGGTTCAAGAGGAATGCCGCCTACTGCCTAGCCTTTAGCTCGGACCGTGATCAGTTTGAGTGGGAGATCATTGACATCGCGCGTGGGACATCGGAACTCCAGCCTTGTTCAAAGAAGATTTTGGGTTCAGGGGCTCTTTGCTGGATCCAACCGAATTGTTGGACATAAGGTACGTGTGTGCAGGTTATTACATATTGTTTTTGATAGAGTAATCTTGAGTTTATAGTGCATTAGTGGTAGTGCATGTGTTAGTGAAGTACTGCACGTGCATGTACAAGTTGTGCTAGGACGTGTAGTCCTTGGTCTTGGGCTAAGTATGTGTCGGGTCAGAGTCCAAGTAGTACACGTGCTAGGTTGCTGTACGTGTCTAGTTGAGTTTAAGTCCTCATAGTATTTTTTTAGCATCAGTACAGACACAAACGCTCATATACACGCGCATACACTCACCCCTATGAACGCACACACGCACACCCTACCCCTATGAGCACCTCTGAGAGACTGAGCCGGCATATCATCTTGAGATTTACGAAGCAACCGTAGGCGCCTCGTCGTCGACGGGAACGTCTCCTTCCACTGAAAGCGCATCGCCGGAAATCCTGAAATAAATCCAGGAATAATACGAGCACCAGGATTTGAACCCTGGTGAGTTGGGGATACCACTGTCCACCTAACCATCTCAACCACAGGTTGATTCACAGTCCTAATAGTATTAGGAGGTCTAGTACGTGTAGGTTTAGGAGTGTTGTTTAGATCGGGTGCTTGTATATATAAAGGCAGCCGGGGTGTGAGTTTTGTACCGTGACAAGAGAGAAAATAGAAAAAGAAAAAAAGAGAAAAGAGGGCACGACAAGGGCCCTTGGCTATAAGTTTTTGTGTGCGCGTGTTTGTCGTACTGTGATGTGATCGATCCCGTGGGCGAATTTCCAACAGTTTTTTCTGCGATGCTTTTACCCTATAGGGTTTACTAGCAAATATGCTCGTGCGTTGCAACGGGAGACAAAAAATTATGGCTAACCAATAAGTATGACTCGGTATCCTGATATATGAGCATACTCTATTTTAACACAGTGGCTCACCATGTTGCCATTTTTTTTCTCACCCTAGCCGATGATGGTCTTGATGTCCACGTTATCACAATGCATTCGACGTGGTAAATCAAAAGGCTATGAGTTTGCCAGTGCATGCCACACCTGTCACTATGTTGCGCAAGGGAATGTTTAAAACTTAAAAACAAATCTCGTTGACCACAAACTACTCCCAACGCCAAGACATATAAAGACTTTCGAAAAACTAATTAAATTCTAGACATAAAATACTTTTGAATCAGTGAACAATTTTCTGAATCGACAAACATTTTCTTTTGAAATTTTTTATTTTCTCAAAAAAATCATGAACATTGGTTTTGTTTACAAAGAAAAAATTAAATGCATGAACCGGTTTCGAATCCAATAACATTTTTTGACTCAACAAACAATTTTTGAGTTGATGAACTTTTAAAAAAATTGGGGAACAAATTTTAAAAAACAAATATTTATTTTTATTTTTGTGAACATTTTCTAAAATGTCATGTACATTTCTTTCAGATTCCCGAATATGTTTCCAATACACGGTCATTTTTTCAAAATCAAGAACATGAATTTATTTCCTGACCATTTTTCCCAAATTGTGATTTTTTTTATAATTTTGAAAAAAATTATGGCTAACCAAATAAGTATGACTCAGTATCCTAATATATGAGCATACTCTATTTTAACAAAGTGGCTCACCATGTTGGCATTTTTTTTCTCACCCTAGCCGGTGATGGTCTTGATGTCCACGTGGTCACAATGCATTCGACGTGATAAATCCCAAGGCTATGAGTTTGTCAGTGCATGCCACACTTGTCACTATGTTGCGCAAGGGAATGTTTCAAACTTTAAAAACGAATCTCGTTGACCACAAACTACTCCCAACGCCAAGACATATAAAGACTTTCGAAAAACTAATTAAATCCTAGACATAAAATACTTTTAAATCAGTGAACAGTTTTCTGAATTGACAAACATTTTCTTTTGAAATTTTTTATTTTCTCAAAAAAATCATGAACATTGGTTTTGTTTACAAAGAAAAAAATTAAATGCATGAACCGGTTTCGAATCCATTAACATTTTTTGACTCAACAAACAATTTTTGAGTCGATGAACTTTTTAAGAAAAATTGGGGAACAAATTTTAAAAAACAAATATTTATTTTTATTTTTGTGAACATTTTCTAAAATGTCATGTACATTTTTTTCAGATTCCCGAATATGTTTCCAATACACGGTCATTTTTTCAAAATCATGAAGATGATTTTATTTCCCGACCATTTTTCCTAAATTGTGATTTTTTTTTTAATTTTGAAAAAAATTATGGCTAACCAAATAAGTATGACTCAGTATCCTGATATATGAGCATACTCTATTTTAACACAGTGGCTCACCATGTTGGCATTTTTTTTCTCACCCTAGCCGGTGATGGTCTTGATGTCCACGTGGTCACAATGCATTCGACGTGATAAATCCCAAGGCTATGAGTTTGTCAGTGCATGCCACACTTGTCACTATGTTGCGCAAGGGAATGTTTCAAACTTTAAAAACGAATCTCGTTGACCACAAACTACTCCCAACGCCAAGACATATAAAGACTTTCGAAAAACTAATTAAATCCTAGACATAAAATACTTTTGAATCAGTGAACAGTTTTCTGAATCGACAAACATTTTCTTTTAAAAAATTTTATTTTCTCAAAAAAATCATGAACATTGGTTTTGTTTACAAAGAAAACATAAATGCATGAACCGGTTTCGAATCCATTAACATTTTTTGACTCAACAAACAATTTTGGAGTCGATGAACTTTTTTAAAATAAATTGGGGAACAAATTTTAAAAAACAAATATTTGTTTTTATTTTTGTGAACATTTTCTAAAATGTCATGTACATTTTTTTCAGATTCCCGAATATGTTTCCAATACACGGTCATTTTTTCAAAATCATGAACATGATTTTATTTCCCGACCATTTTTCCCAAATTGTGATTTTTTTGTAATTTTGCGCACTTTTTTTGAATCTGGAAAAATTTTATGATTTTCTAAACACTTTTTGAATTCACATTTTTTTGAAAAGTCGCACCTTTAGAATATTAAAATCCCGAATTAATTTAAAGAAGAAAAAAGAAAGAAAACAGAATGAGAAAAGAACAGACAAAAACGTAAAATGAAAAAAGGGAGTGAAGCCCACACGGCCACACATGGGTAGGACATATGCGTGAGAAAAGAACGAAAAAAAAGAGGCGGAAGCTGGGAATCGAACCCCGATCGCCCAACCACTCTGCTGTCCAATGTTCCATGACTTCTATTCGTCGCGGACCTATATAAAACAACCAGTGGGGCGGCGATTTTTGGTCCGAAAAAACCGAATCGTTTTCCCACTTACGGGTGGCATTGGTGGGTAATTTTTACCAATTTAAAGGGTAATTATAATGACAGACGACCCAAATCCAATTTGCTTTATTATTAGGTAAAGATATAGATAGAATCTAGAGATCCTGCATATCTGGTTCATGGTCAAACATGGATGGGCCGTTATTCAGTTTGCTCCCCTTTGTGTACTACATATTTAAGGATCGTCATCATGCTCATGTTACTGAGTCCATGGTGTTACATATCTGGCCATCGGGTTTATTGGTTTTAGAAATCTTCGTGTGTTTGGTTTACCATCACATATGCCATATTTTCTTATTTGATGTTTATTCATTTTGTGACCATTGTGGTCATAAGTACTTTGAACAAAATTTGTGGACTGAAAATATTTGGTTAGATACTCCATACATGTGATTTCAAGTGATTTATATTTACGTTTTGCATGCCCTCCTAGATATTTTGGCTTGTTTGCCAGATAACGACAAAAGTACTAAGTTATGCTACAATGAACAGATTATATCATTATAACATTCATGTTGTATCCCACCTACAATAGAAATAAATGCAACGCAAACTTGATTGCCGCATTGACAATTCCTTTTTATTAGTTTAAGCTCAGATTAGTTTATTAAATCGAACCGCCATGGGACGACTTCCGATCCTCACGTGTGAGGGTTTTCGAAGAAGAGCAAACTTTATTGTAGAATCATTAAGATCGTTAAGAGTAGCAAAAAACATGTGGAGGCAATTCGAGGCAGAAAATAACAATATCTACACAATTTTGCTAAATGAGCGAGCTTGTAGGCTACTTTGTTACAGTCTCCACACTTTGCTTCAAATTTAAGATTCATAAGTCAGTTCCTTGCCTTTATCCTGAGTATTTTGTACATGGTTTAGACAAAAAGATTTGCAAATATTATTCACAGTGAGTACTTGAGTTTGAGAGTTTTCTCGGCCATGAGTATGCTCGCTGCTACCAATCTGTGTCCCATATCCAATGTTTCACCATTGTTCCTGATCAACACTACTCTCACATATACTTTATTAGCAATATAATTTTCCATGCAATTGTTAGCGTCCACTGTTGTAAAACATTAACTGAACTTTTGTGATTTTTTGCAGGAACCTGAAGACTAACGGTTGAAACGTGAAAGATCAGCAAATAAGCAAGCAACCACTAGTAGAAAAGGGGGCATCAGTCCCGGTTCGTAAGGGACTAAAGGGTCGTTACTAATGCCTCCACCCTTTAGTCCCGGTTCTAACACGAACTGGGACAGATGGGCCTCCACGTGGCCACTGCAGGCAGCCCAGACAAGGGGGCCTTTGGTCCCGGTTGGTGACATGAACCGGGACCAAAAGGCTTCCACGTGTCAGTAGCTGAGGTTTTTCTTTTTTTTTAAAAAAAAAGTGGCTGGTTTAGGGGTTTTGGGGGTTAATTTTAGGTTGTTATTAGCTAGCTAATAGAGAGAAGTGTCCTCTCTTATACTGCTATATTCATTTCACCCGCTGATATATAATAACTCATGCATGCTTGCATCATACATCATCATATATAATAACAAGTCCTACTAATCATGCATCATCATACAACTTCTACTCGTTATTAATAACAAGTCATACGATCATCATCCTCATAGTCATCGAACCAAACCCTACATAATTGTTCTTAGCACATGATCATCAGTATCAGGTAAGACCTAAACACCCTTAAGGTAAAATAGCATAAAA